TAAGGGTCTTGTGGTCACATGTTAGGTCGGTTACACTTGGTAAGACAATACAATTATATAGTCAACATCAGATAACTACAATATCAGCAATAACAATGATTACAAACATAGTGATTGAGAATAAGGATTTTTTGACAAACATTTTGAGTATAATCAAGATATAAATTAACATGCAGTTATAGAACATTCGACGATAAGGGCTGGAATCGTTTGCTCTGTGGGCACTTCACTATTGTCGTTATTTTCTGGGCGCAGGTCAAACTTGGCACAGTCGATTACCACTAGGGTCTTGGGTACCGTGGGAAGTCGAGGGGGAAGTAGAGGGGAGAGGTCATTAAACCCCTCCCTCTCTCCCTCCCTCTCTCCCTCCCTCCCTCCCTCCCTCCCTCTCTTTCTTTTTTTCTTTCTTTTTTCTTTCTTTTTTTCTTTCTTTTTTTCTTTCTTTCCCTCTCCTCTCTCCCTCACTCCCTCTCTCTCTCTCTCTCTCTCTCCTCCTCTCCCTCTCTCCCTCTTTCCTTCTGTCCTTCTCCCTTTCGTCCTATCGTAAATGACCTGATATTACTCCAGAAGTAGGGAAACAACAACAATAACAACAGACATACGATCTCGCCTTCATTACTGCGCGTTGCTGATGAAAAGTACAATTTTTAGAGAAAGAAATCTTTTCATAGTGAGTGTGTGTATTTCGAGAAATATTTAGGTCCTTGTTTTTGTTTTGATAGATTGATTTTAATTGCTTTTGACCTTCACTTCCAGTTACACGCTCACGGACACAGACCGCGCTTTTACGAAAACTACAATTACGATCGCGCACGCCGACGCCGACGCGGTGCTGGTGCTGGCGCTGGCGGTGACACGCTCCAAGCACGCCCCGTAACGCGTAACGTCGCCGTCACACGAGCTCGATGTAGCGGCGGGTGGGGGGGGGGGTGGATTTATAGACATAGGGAAGGGAAAATGGACTGGGTGTGTGGGGGGGGGGGTAGGATTTATAGACATAGGGAAGGGAAAATGGAATGTGTGTGTGTATGGGGGGGGGGGGGGTATGCGGAAGGGGAGGATACGGAAGGGGTGGGGAGGGGGAGGGGGAGAGGAAGGGAGGTAGGTATGCTGATGGGGAGTGGCAGGGGGAGGGGGAGGGGGAGCGGGAAGGGGGTAGATATACTGAAGGAGGGAGTGGAGGAGCGGGAGAGAGGGAAGAGGAGAGATATACTGAAAGAGGAAGGGGAGGGGAAGGAGAAAGGGTAGATATACTGAAGGAGGGAAGGGAGGGAGCAGTGGATAGGAGGAGGAGGAGGGGGGGAGCTGGAATTCGCCCCCCTCCGTAACCTATTTCCGGACGGGTGGAAGACTCGTCAAACCCGCGATGTTTCTTCCCACGCTGCTCCGCGCTCGCCTCTCGTGATGCGGGGGGGGGGGATGGTGATGCTGTGTGATGCTGGGTGGCGAAGATGAAGGCGAAAAGGGGGTGTTTGCCGGTGCTTGTTATCTTTATTATTGTCATTAGCCGTGATCGTAGTATGTTTTTACTATTACTATTGTTTTTGTTGTTGAAGTTATTATTATTATTTTTTTTTGCTATTATTGTATTGTATCATATCTCCTCACCATCATTATCCTTATTGCCGTTGTCATTGTCTTAACATTATTGTTGTTTTATATTTGTTACCATTGCCATCATCATCATTAGTCTTGTTTGCTCTGTTTTGTTGTTATTGTTGTTGTTATTGTCCCAACCATTATCAGTACTATCATACTGTTCTTGTTTATCTTATTTTTTTCGTTATTAATTAGCACTCGACTGTGATGCAAGAGCCAGACGGAAAACCGAGCGAGTGCAAACAGACAGACAGACAAGACAAGACCAGACCAGACAGGACAGACAAGACAAGACCAGACAAGACGGGACAGACAGACGGACAGATCTGAAGAGCGTCTGACATTCACTCTGGTTCTTGTCCGTCCGCGCCAATTATTCAGCCGTTTAGTCCCAGTGGCGGCGATGGGCCAGATAAAGGGGCAGACGGTGTTTTTGCTTCTTTCTTTCTTTCTTTTTTCTTGGCATGTGATATTCGATGATAGGAATGTGTGTGTGTGTGCGTGTGTGTGTGTGTGTGTGTGTGTGTGTGTGTGTGTGTGTGTGTGTGTGTGTGTGTGTGTGTGTGTGTGTGTGTGTGTGTGAGTGTAAGTGATTGTAAGTGTGAGTGTGAGTGTGAGTGAGAGAGTGAGAGTGAGAGTGACTGACTAACTGACTGGCTGACTAACTGACTGACTGACTGACTGACTGACTGACTGACTGACTGACTGACTTCATGCAAACTCGAGAAACGGAGCATGAAAAACGATAACTCACTCAATTGAGAGGAAACCGAGACAAAAAGGCAGGCAAGTAGGACAAGGCAAACGAGTTACGAACAGAAAAGAGAAAAAAATAAATAAAAATAAAGAAAGGAAAGATCGGAAAAAGAATAGAGAGAGAGAGAGAGAGAGAAGAAAAAAAGCACTTTAAAAATCGGGAGTCGATCTGGTAGTCGAGTAAATCAACGAAATGAAACAAGGCGATGATGAGACGGCGCCGCCCTTCCTGGTGCGCGATGGGCGGCCGGAGCGAGATGCCGCCCACGGGCTATCTCGTTTTTTGCGCCGTCCTTTTGGGGGTCCGGGCATCAGCACGCCCATCCCCCTCCCGTGCCGCCCGTGGGGAGGGGTGAGGGGTGAGGGGTAAGGCGGATAGATAAGTGTATGTGAGGGGGGAGGGTTGCTTAATTTCGCGACTTGATTGAAGGTTTTGGTCCTTTTTGTTGTTTTGCTTGTGTTTGTTGTTTGGTGTGTGTAGGATTTGTTTTCTTTTGTCTTGAGTTTCTCTTCTCCTCCTCCTTCCTCGTTTACTTATCGTCATCTTCGTCGTCGGCGTTTTGTTCTCAAGTATCATTATCTTCGCCGTTGTCTGTGTATTTTTCTCGCGTTTCTCCTTTTTTTTTCTTTTCTTCTTCCGAGAATATAACGTTGGTGCACTTAGCCTATTAACAAAAACGAGGATGAAGCTGATAATGAAGAAATAAATACAAGTAAAAAAAAAAGAAAAGAAAAAAAAGGAGGAGAACGTAATAGCGACGATTGATAAGCAGTGATTCGGCAGAAAATATCCCCTCCCCTCCCCCCCTCCCTTCCCTTCCCCTCCCCTCCCCGACGACATGTATCACGTGACTTATGATTAAAACACCGGTGTGTTACGTACGTGATGAGACCCCATCTCGCCCCGTCGCCGCCGCCGCCCTTCCGTGTGTGTGGTAGTACGCCCGCGCGCCCAAGGTCACCCTCGCCCCTTACCCTTTCCACGGCTGCTACGTACACACGCACACACGCAGAAACATACGTACACCCTTTGCTCTGTTCTTTCCTTTGTTATGCTTTATTTTCCCTACCCCCTCTCTCTCCTTCCTCTCTTCCCCTTCCCTCCCCTTCTCCATTCTCTTCCCATCCTGTACTTCACTCTCCTTTCCCCTCCCTCCCTTCCCCTCCCCTCTTCCCCTTCCCCTCCCCTATTCCCCCTTTCCTCTTCCCCTTCCCCTTCCCCTTCCCCTTCCCCTTTCCCTTCTTCTCTTTCTCTTCCCTCCCATTCTCCATTCTCTTCCCACCCTGTACTTCTCTCTCTTTTCCCTTCCTTTCCACTGATCATCCGAAAGGAGGAAATACATCGATCTCAATTTATCTTATATATATTTTTTTTTTCTGTATCGGTAGCACCACAGGTCGTTGAATGTTGATCCCCCCTCCCCCCTCCCCCACCCGTTCAGTTTTTATCCATCTTTTTATTACTCTTTCTGTTTTGTTTTTTTGTTTGGTTTTGTTTTGTTTTTTTGTTTATATGCTACCGGAGCGAGAGATCGCAGGCTGGTTGTTCGGACTAATGAGCTTCTCTCCATCGGTGTAGCGGAAAGCCAAGACTAGTCTTGACGGAGGTGACAGAGGGGGGAGGGAGGGGAGAGGGAAGGGGGGGGAGGGGGGATGAGGTGGATAGGGAGTGGGCGAAAGTGGAGGAGGAAGGTGAGATAGAGAGGGAGAAGGAGGGGGAAGGGGAGGGGAATGAGGTGGATAGGGAATGAGCGAAAGTGGAGGAGAAAGGTGAGATAGAGAGGGAGGGGGAGGGGGAAGGGGGGATGAGGTGGATAGGGAGTGGGCGAAAGTGGAGGAGGAAGGTGAGATAGAGAGGGAGAAGGAGGGGGAAGGGGAGGGGAATGAGGTATATAGGGAATGGGCGAAAGTGAAGGAGAAAGGTGAAAGAGAGGGAGGAGGGGGAGGGGGAGGGGAATGAGGTGGATAGGGAGAGGGCGAAAGTGGAGGAGAAGGGTGAGATAGAGAGGGAGAATGAGAAGGAAAAAAATAAGGTGAGGGAGGGGGAGAGCGTGAGTGTAAGTTTGGGTGAGTGTGGGTGTGGGGAAGTAAGGGAGGGGGACAGAAAATGCAAATAGATCTAAACAGACATCAGTTATATTGACAGAGAACAACAGAACGGGAGGCTTGCAGTGACTGGCGGAAACAGAGACGATAGAGGGAAGAAGGGAAGGGAAGGGATGGAGAGAGAGAGAGAGAAAGAGAGAGAGAGAGAGAGAGAGGAGAGAGAGAGAGAGAGATAGATAGATAGAGAGAGAGAGAGAGAGGAAAATATAAAGTCTCGAATCCTCTTCAACATTGCAGAAAGTTTTGAATATTTTTATCAGGAAGCTGTTTTTCATTACTAAAGTGTCGAATGATATGGTGCTCCCAGTCTTGGTCTGCTTGTAAATTGTCGTGCTATTTATTGGGCTCTGACTCAGTCCGAGAAGCTTTGTTCTTATTTGTAGCAATGAAGTTAGTGAATAATTATTGAGTCAGTAAATGAGGTGAAGAATGTTAAAGAAGGACTATTTTTACCAATTCGCCAAGGTTGATAAGAGGGGAACGGATGAAGTTGTTAAATAAAACGAAAAAAAAAGGTAATTCGAAGTAGTCTATACAGTATGCGCATGTGGAGAGGGCGGCGAGAACGTCCATATGCGTTCGTGAGATTCCTGAAAACTCCGCTATCTGAAGCTGAAATATCTGACCCATGGCCTGGATTCGAGAGAGACGTAATTACCATAGTTTACAAAATGGTGTAATAGAAACGTAATTAGTTTCTCTTTACAATGAAGAGGGGTGGGGTGGGGGGGCAGGGGCAGGGGCGGCGAGAGCATGAAGATGGCAATTACCTGGACGGACGCACGACTTACCTGCCCGAGCCTTTATGACACACTTAATAACGCAGGTACCGTACGGAGGAGGAGGAGGAACACCTTTAAGCGGCATGCGTCGGCGCGCTGCTTATCCGAACGGGGACGGGGCTGAGCAGGACGAAGGGACGACGCCTCTTAATTACGCCTTGGCCGGTTTATTGCCCAAAGACTATTAGGGTCTTAATTGCCCGGCGGAGGAGGCGGCGAGTCCTTGGCGGCGCTGGGGAGAGGGAGGGAGGGAGGGAGGAAGAGTGAGAGAGAGGAGACAGAGTGAGAATAGAGGTTGTTTGGGAGGGAGGGAGGGAGGGAAGTGAAGAGAGGAGACGAGATGAGACGAAACGAGGCAGACATGGACAAACAAAGAAGGAGGGGAGAGATAGGGGAGGAAGGCAAGGAAGGAATAAGGAAAAAAAGAGAGAGAGGGACGGACGGATGGGGAGACGTCAGTAGCGCGTGGCGGGAGGTTACGCTCGTGTCGTGTCCGGAATGGCAAATACGCACACGCGTGGGAGGGGGGGGGGGGGTCGAGACGAGTTATACCAAATTGCGAACATGAGAAAAGAGAAGGAAAGTGTGAAACTATTTTGCATGCCAACTGGAGTCAAGATGACCTCCGAACACCTATATTATTTTTTATTATTATTATTATTCGTTTTTTCTTTTATTATTCTTTAATGAATCCGTCACGACAGAGCGTCACCACCAGTGTACTGTTGATGGCGACGCAGCCGTAATAGCTTTTGCGGCATCGCTAATTACCCAAACGCACATCGGCCCCCACTTGTGTCTGGAAGCATATGAAGTCTTTGGTTGCTCCGTAATGACTGTGATTAACGCTCAGCTGTCGAAATTAGCCAAAGGGAGAATCGGCCAGTGGTCAGTGCTCGCGGCCGTGGGTGATCGAAAGCGCGCAATGTTTATTTTTAGTATTAGTTTTAGTTTTTTGATAGGCTTTTAGAATTGAGGGGAACCGTTTTGGAAGTGTAATTTCCCGAATAGCTTGTTTATTTATTTATTTTTAGTGTGATGTATGGATGCAGTTTATTTGATTATGTGTGCGTCAGTGCATGTTCATTAGTACAATAGTGTTGCTCACTTAGTAACCCCACACTCTCCCCTTGCAGAGCCTGGCGGAGGTGTTCCGATGTTTCATTTGCATGGAGAAGCTGCAGGACGCGCACCTGTGTCCGCACTGCTCCAAGCTATGCTGCTACCTGTGCATCCGGCGGTGGCTGACGGAGCAGCGGCCGCAGTGCCCGCACTGCCGCGCCAACCTCCACCTGCACGAGCTGGTCAACTGCCGGTGGGTCGAGGAGGTCACGCAGCAGCTGGACACGCTGCAGCAGGCAGGGGTCCGCCCGCCGCCGCCGGACACCGAGAAAGACAGGTAAGGGCGTCGGGAGTAGGAGCTGTGCTTTGGCTCTGTCTGACTTTGTCATTCATCCCCCCACCTCTCTCTCTCTCTCTCTCTCTCTCTCTCTCTCTCTCTCTCTCTCTCTCTCTCTCTCTCTCTCTCTCTCTCTCTCTCTCTCTCTCTCTCTCTCTCCTCCTCTCCTCCCTCCCTCCCTCCCTCCCTCCTCTCTCCTCTCTCTCCCTCCCTCCCTCCCTCCCTCCCTCCCTCCCTCCCTCCCTCCCTCCCTCTCTCTCTTCCTCCCTCCCTCCTTCCCTCCATCCCTCCTTCCTTCCCTCTCTTCTTCTCCCTCTCAGTCCTATTCACTTTCCTTCTCTCACCTTCTTCCTCCCTCCCACTCTTCCTCCCTCCCTCTCTTCCTCCCTCCCTCCCACTCTTCCTCCCTCCCTCTCTTCCTCCCTCACATCTCTCTCCCTCCTTCCTATACTCTCTCCCTCCCTCCCGTCTTTTTCTCTCCTTCCTATCCTCTCTACCTCCCTCCCATCCTCTCCCTCTCATTTTTATTCACTTTCCTTCTCTCACCCTCTCCCTCTCATTTTTATTCACTTTCCTTCTCTCACCCTCTCCCTCTCTTTCTCCCTCCCATCTCTCTCCCTCCTTCCTATCCTCTCTCCCTCCATTCATCCTCTCTCCCTCCTTCCTATCCTCTCTCCCTCCATTCATCCTCTCTCCCTCCCTCCTGTCTTTCTCCATCCCTCCCATCCTCTCTCCCTCCCTTCCTCCCTTCCTCCCTCCCTCCCATTCCTCCCATCCTCTCCCTCCCTTCCTCCCTTCCTCTCTCTCCCTCCCTTCCTCTCTCTCTCTCCCTTCCTCTCTCTCCCTCCCTTTCTGCCTTCCTCTCTCTCCCTCCCTTTCTGCTTTCCTCTCTCTCCCTCCCTTCCTCCCTTCCTCTCTCTCCATCACTTCCTCCCTTCCTCTCTCTCCCTCCCTTCCTCTCCCTCCCTTTCTGCCTTCCTCTCTCTCTCCCTCCCTTCCTCTCTCTCCCTCCCTTCCTCCCTTCCTCCCTTCCTCTCTCTCCCTCCATTCCTCCCATCCTCTCTCCCTCCTTCTCCTCTCTGACTTCCCATCTTCCTCATCCCCCAGCTGTTTGTATTTTTCAGGTGTAATTGATCATTGAAAATATACAATGATTATTTGAATCATTTTAACATGTAATTATACAATCGAACAATGCCGAGAAAATAAAGGTAATTAAACAGTAAAAAACATTATAATTATATCATTGTCCATTGTTTTACCCATTAAACCCTACACACTTTTACAGGTGCGACAGCCACCAAGAGAAGCTAAGTGTATACTGTTGGACCTGCGGCAAATGCATCTGTCACCAGTGCGCACTCTGGGGTGGGACCCACTCTGGCCACACCTTCAAGCCGTTAGAGGAGGTCTACGAACAACACATCACACAGATCAGGGAGGAGGTCGCCCAGCTGCGGAGGAGGTTGCACGAGCTGGTGTCCCTTGTCCAGGAAGTGGTGCGTGGGAGGATGTCTCTTGTTTTAATTTTTTAATTTTTTTAAGAATTATTTTTGATTTGTTGATTTAGTGTGATCCTTGTTTAATCAAAATGGATGCATTCTGTATTAGATCTACTGTTGATTTAGTTGTCATCCTCATCAGTTGTCAGTTTTCATTCATCAGCCATTAACAGACAATACCACTCATAACCATAAATCATCAAATATTAACATCAACCAGCAGTCATCAGTCATCATTTTCAATACAGGAGAGGAACGTGGAGTCAGTGCGAGCAGCAAAGGACGAGCGTGTTCGGGAGATTCGCAACGCCGTTGAACTTATGATCGCTCGACTTGACTCTCAGCTCAAGTCGAAGTTGCTCACACTCATGGGACAGAAGAACTCCCTCACACAGGAAACAGAGCAGCTAGAGTCCTTGCTGCAAGAGATTGAGCACCAGTTGCACACTTGTTCAAAGTATGAATTGGAAAGCTAACAATACGTATTGTTTATATAGTTTAAGTCCAAAATCTAACATAATCAAACAAATACAATGAAGATCCACAAAGTGATTATTAGAATATATTCTCATAGACTATACCAATCTTAAACAAGTAAAAGCAAGTCACAAAGATAATTATTGAAATATACTCTCATATCCTCTCCCAATCTTATAACTACATTTTTTCTGCTGATATTTCCTAATATGAGCTCTCTTTTCACCCCTTCCTCAGGTCAGAGTTGATACAGCGCTCACCAGATCTCCACTCTATGATCATGCCAGTCAACAAGAAACCAATGGCTTCCTTTGTCACAGCTCCAGTACCTGCGGATTTTCAGAGGTACGGGAAGTGGAACAGTTAGGATTAGGATTGATTGGGATTGCCAGTGGGGTTTGAGTGTGCAGGTCTTGGTAATTTTGGTGAAAACATTGTTATCTAACTTTTTCTTATTTTAAACAATGATATGAATATGTATATTTGCTGTATATGCAAAGTATATTAGGAAAGAAAGTTTTTAAAAGTACACAATAATTAAGAAGGTAATGAATATATGTTCTATATATGTGTTTTGCTGTTACAAGGAATAAGAGTGACACTGAGTTAATTTTTGTTAAGGTATAGGAATGTTAACTGCAACAGTGAATCATTCATATCGTTGTGTTTTATTACTTTACTGTTCTATGATGTGAGATATGTAACAATGATTTATTTCATTTTTTCTCCAACAGTGAAATTGTGCCCCAGTATGACAGCAGTACCTTTGTCATGAACAATTTTTCACAGCTGCAACACAAAGCTGATCCTGTATACTCCCCTCCCCTCCATGTCAATGGGCTCTCATGGAGGCTAAAGGTATATCTTTTATCATTATTCTATTATGTGATGGTGATCATCATATGAACATTGTTGTTTATGGCACAAATAAAAACACAGTAATGTGTACACAAAGATGAAAGGAAAACTGCCAAAGTATGAAAGTGATACGAATCGTAACGTTTCGAACTCTTCAAGGGCTCCTCTTCAGACGAATAATAAACCGAAATGGATACCATTTTGGTTTATTATTCGTCTGAAGAGGAACTAGTGAAGAGTTTGAAATGTTACGATTCGTATTGTTTGCTTACTGTGCCAACTTTCCTTTCATTGTTGTTTATGTACCACAGTGTATGTTTAGTTAATTAGGAAATGTCTCTCAATAATCTTTTGTTCTTTGTTTGAAGTTTGTAATCTTGTTATCCCTGCTTTGGAAAGTATGATGAAACAATAACTGGGTGATTGTTTATATGTGGAAATCTGTCCATATAGCTTGAACTCAATTTTATTAGTGTATTTTTGTATATTTTTGTACTCTTAAAAGAAATATCATGATTTATTGATTGATTTATTCTTTTAGGTTTATCCTGATGGTAATGGGGTTGTTAGAGGAAATTACCTCTCTGTCTTCCTAGAACTTAGTGCAGGGCTCCCTGAAACTTCCAAGTGAGTGTTGTTGTGTTAATAGAGATAATAGTTATGATTATTTGGCATGTTATTGTCAGAGATAGACTTTGTTGCTTTTTCTGTTTTATGTTGTTACCAAGGAAACATGTGATAAAAGATGATGTTTTACTGCCGTATGTCATTGAGACAGTCTTGATTTTGCTTTTACTGATAGCAAGTGATATATTCCTGTGCATTAAGATTGCTGCTCATTTCATTGTTGAATGGTATTGAGATGACCTTAACCTCACCTCTTTCAGATACGAATATAGAGTAGAAATGATTCACCAGGGCTCTAGAGATGCTAGTAAAAATATTGTTAGAGAATTTGCCTCGGACTTCGAAGTGGGCGAATGCTGGGGTTATAATAGGTTCTTCAGGCTTGACCTTCTGGCCAGTGAAGGTTACCTAAATACAGAGACAGATACGCTTATTTTACGGTGAGTGCCACTGCCCTCTCTGTAATCAAGGTCTTCCATTTGCTCATTCATTCTGTTGGTGATTTTTAAGATAATGTTTCTTTTTTTATGCATATATGTATCTATGTATGTATTGTTTCTTGTAAGAAATTGGTATTTTTTGTGTAAATGGAAAGGATTTTTCCTAATTTTTTTTTCTCTCTCTCTCTCTTTTTAGGTTCCAGGTTCGTCCGCCTACCTTCTTCCAGAAATGCCGGGACCAACAGTGGTACATTCATCAGCTCCAGACTCTCCAAGCTCAATATATTCAACAGATTAATAATTTAAAGGAGGTACGGAGACATTTATATCATATTCAAATTCAGAATGTCCTTACTACTGCAATTGTGGTTAAAATTGTGTATGTGTATGTCTGTATATGTTTGTTTCTGTCTGTCTGTCTCTCTCTCTGTCTGTCTTTCTCTCTGTCTCTGTCTCACCCGTGCGTGCGTGCATGCGTGCGTGCATGTATGCATATATATGTATATAGATGTGTATGTGTGTGTGTGTGTTTTTTACATGTATGTATATGTACATACACATTAGTTTTATGTGTAAGTGGAGGTTAAGAATGCAATTTTTGTTTAATCTGTGATGGTAATTATAATCTGATATGGCTTAAATATTTAATTAGATATTTCATATAGTGGCTTATATATAATTCTAAATTCCTTTTGTGTTTTTAATTACATTTCTGACACTTCTGTGTTAGGTCACAGAAACAACAAATGATACTATGACTTAAGGAATTTTTTCTCCACAGAGAATAGCAATTGAATTGTCCCGAAATTCAGTTGCGAGTAGCAAAAGTGTAGGCAACCCTGATGGCCTGCCTCATGTGGAGCGACCCCAAACCTCATCCCCAAAACCCAACAACATCAACATCCATCCACACCACCCTCATCCTCTGCCACAGACCAAACCCCAGCGCACACACCACATCAACAAGAGTGTTGAGCCTGTCGAATTGGAGGCCGAGAGACAGTCTACGAGCTCCTCTGATACTGAGGCAAGTTTCACTTTTCTTTTTTTATCATTATCATTAGTATTGGTAGTATTGTTATTGTTATGCCCCATATTAGAATAATAGTTTTTATAATAGTTTTATCTGCCATTTGTTCATTTATATTGCTATATTCTCAGATAGGTTTTAGATGAAAAAAAAAAAATACATATTAGCACTGTAATTATTGCTGAGTAACAGCCTGCTTTTGAGAAGCTGCAGTATAACAGTGAGTAATGCAAAGGCATTGCATTTCCAGGACCTGAGTGAGGGAGAATTGAACGACCAAGAAGAGGGACCAGACCACAGCATTGCCACAGCCGAATATGCTAGCAACGATGAAAATGATGTGGACGATGAGACGATGAGTGGAGACAATGATGTGGAACACTCCGCTGCATCCTCTCTCCTTGCTAGTCTCCATGAAGCTTCAGCACTTCATGACCGGCCCATCCTCAACCATGGCCGGTCCCACAACACCAACTTCCTGTCTGATTTGGATTCGTTGACAGAGCAGCTAGGGGCGGTTGGCAGGTAAACCACTAGTTGGCTTTAGATGTGTTCATTTCTTTGGTTCGTTTTCTCTTTATTTATACTCTATTTTTTTATGAACTTCCACTTTTATAAACCTCAACAAGTTAAGATTTGAGTCATATACAGCAAGATATAAAAGTGGACATCAGGACTTTACATGTTGTTAGCAAAATGTTATTGTATGACTAGAGAGAGATACAGATACAGTACAGTTATTATGAAAAACAAATATATATCTATGTATTTTTTATTTATTGTCTTAGCATACAGCCCGACTTGAGCTCGCCCCAAGGTGATGAGATGATGCTGCTTCACCTTCTGGAGATGCAAGGTCGAGGGGGCCCTGACCATCGCCGGCCCTGGAACAAGCCGTGCCTCGGTGGCATTGGTAAGTGCATTTGGATTTAGGGATAACCTGGAAATTATAATGCTTATTTATGTCTTGTTGATGAATAGAAATCTTAAAAAGTGTGAAGTTTTATTAATTTATTACTATTATTATTGATATATTAATTCAGAGTATTCAAAAATTGGCAGAGCTTTAGATAAAGATTATTTTTAAATGCAATAAATTATCTATACTTATCATTGTTTTTATAATTTCTGTGATTTCATATATTACAATTTAAACCATGAGCAGCAGTTAGCTTTAATTTAACCCAATCATCATGGATTTATGTAATGTCCCCTGTAATTATTATTATTTTGTTACATACAGATGTCTATCAGATGTAGTGACTGATCCTGAATTCCCCATACCTTAAATTGGCAGGAAAATTTGTTTTCCCTCTAATTCTATTAATATCAATACTGTTATTTTTCTTATTGATATTATGATTATTAAATTGTTATTAAAATCTTGGTAATATGAATACAAAAGCTACTTTCCAAAAGTCGAGGAAAAGGGTAAAGAGGTGAGATAGGACTAGTAACTTACTCCTTGGTGGTTAAGAACGTATAGAGTCATTTATGTGTAAAGACAATAAATAAACTTACATTACAATGGGCATGGGATGTATTCTTTTCATCTGTGCTGATTGGGTTAATTTCAGAACATGCACATCATATCAATGTCTTGTCTAAATACAAACTTAGGAGTTTTCTTTCTATACTAGAGTGCATATTATACCAACAGTCAGGAATTCAAAGTAAAAAGACAAACCACCTCCCTTGCCCACAGGCTCAAGGCACAAGTCAAACCGCATGGTTCGGAAGCCCCTCCTCCCCATCGCCTCAAGCGTCTTAGACACACTGCAGCTCGACATGGCAACTCTCCTCCAGTCAAATCTTCCAGCGCATTCCGGCATCTCCTCCCTGCAAGCACACACAGGTGGGCTTCCAGACCATGACCGCCCAGTCATGCAGCATCCGCAGCACCTCAATAATACAAGTCCACCTACAAAGAGTGAGTTTTCCAGTAGGGGTTTTATTTTGCTTCTTGTTTTGCTTTTGTTGTGTTTGTCTTGATTTTGATATTTTTGAAGGCTGGGTTGAAAGTGAAACGGTGATATAAAATTGGGAATTGGATAAGTTAATGTGAGTAAGAAGTTATGGTGTTTAGAAGAAAATATAAATTGATAGGCTTATTTTTTTTTTAGGACTTGCAGGTAGGTTTTCACTTTTGTCAAATTTGTAAATTCATAGAATTGTTGAAATTAAAAGATTTTAAAGGGACATGACTCACTTTGATATTAATCACAACTTTGCTGATACAAGACAACCATTCTGCAGGTGGATACAGACCACCCTTGGCTCCACGGCCTTCTTTGTACACTCACCAATTAGCAGAGGAAGCAAAGAAGGAAGCCCAGTCAGCATCTAATGTTGCAGATAAGGTGTGTTAGTCTGTAGAAATTTGTATAAAGATGAGACTGTATATACATTATTGTTATTCACCCTTTTTTTTTTCTTTCTTTCTTTGTTAAAATAATAATTAGGTATTTGTTTATATATAATTGAGATTCTGATTGTTTACCTTGGGAATTTGGATATGGTTGTGATTTCCTTGCTCTCCTTTGAAGGGATTATGATAATATGAATTGACTTCAAAGAAATTTAAGTATTTAGAAGATATTTTCCTTGATCATAGGACTTGAGTGAGTCATCAATGTGTGACTTGTCGTTGGATCCGGTGTCACTGTCGGACATGACACTAGAAGAGGGTCCTCTCTCTGTTGTTGAGGAACCAGAGTCTTTGGGAGCTTCAGGTGCAGCCGCAGCAGCACCGGTGACTGCATCCTCTGCTGCATCGGCGGCAGTGTCGGGGGGAGTAGCACCATCCGCACCTGGTGACAGCGCAGTTAGCAGTGACAACACCAGCGGCAATGTCAGCGACGGCGGAACAGAGGTACCTTGCATCCCCGCCCTCAACACTGCAAGGCTCATCGCACGCATGAAGTAAGATCACCACCACCTCAACACATTCAGCTGAACACAATCACCACATGATTCTACATGCCAGAGGCTAGAAGCAAGAGGTTTATGTTCCGGTGCCTCTTTGGGGTGGGACAGTTGCTAAATGCATATAAAGTACATCTTCATTCAGATATTGTGGCATCATATCATTTATAGTGGTTCATGGATTGTAGCATTCACTCAGGAGAAAGATGCCATTGACTTTCCATAATTTGGTTGACCTGGATTTGGCCAGATGTAACCATTCACACATATATCCCATATCTGCTGGGCCATGCCTATAGCTGTCACAACAAACAAACTCGTCACGCTGGGTATGATTATAGGCGTCATGACACGCTAAAGCAAGTTGAGTGGAAAGTTCCACTACATGTAGCAGACTCCTAGGCCAAATGGCAGGACAGTTACCAGAAGTCAACGGAGTCAGTGACACTGATACCGTCATTGAAGGGATATATACACTTACATACATTCTTGCTTTCATGGAGTCATCAAGAGACATACATCAGTACATGGGTCATGCAGCATGCTTATGCAAGACAACATAGAATTAACACAGTGTTTTCTCAAGTTATAGGTCACAAAGATGATATTAAATCAATAATATTTTCCCTGTAAAACTTAGTTTACAGCACAGGGTCTTATACTGAGTGATAAACTACACCAGCACTTACAGTCCCTATGTGGTCACATCTTCAAGGAGAAACACCAGCTATTTTTGGGTGTCTATTCACGGCTTGCATGCTGTACACCAGAATTCAGCTTTAGAAATATTCCTCTTGCTCTTTTACCTGTATTTCTGCTCTTTAGCACTCACTCGCATCAACACCAACTTACACATCAGCTTCCCATCACACACCCAGAACCCCAGGTACATAACATGCATCCAGTGGTCTTGAGCTTGCAGTGGTTGATCCAGAAAATCAGGGACTTTGAGTAGTGGGCACAGTTTGTGTAAATGGTAAGAGATGGGTATTAATTACTTGGAATTTGACTCTGGCTTTGGATGTCTTTTGTTTGAATTACTCTTATATTGCTGTTTATTGTTTACAAGATATTAATTTTATTGCTTGAAGACCTTATACTAATATACATTTTCTCATTTAAGATGACTCTTTAAGATTAACTTTAAATTGCATAATTCATGTAACAATATTTATTGGTGTTGTGATAATGTAAAATTGTTGTTTTAAATTTCTTAACATTTTTTTCGTTCCATGCATCTCATAGATAGATGACTCAGGTGTGTAATGGCTGATTTGGAGTGAAGGAATTTTAGTTGTATTTATTTTTTTTTACATTGGCTTAGCCCAGAATTATTTCAGTAGGAATTGTTCTTGTGGGAAGTGACTGAAAAGAAAGTTTCCTTCATATTCTGAGATACGAACACTTCTCATCAGTATCTCGTGGACTGTTCCCAAATAAATCACAGTTGGATTTAAGTTTGACACATTTTCACAAAAGTGTTATCATACAATTTAGTTTGGCTGTAACAGATTATTATTATTATTATTTTATCTATTTTATTTTTTAGATTTTTAAAGATATTACTACTTATTAACATTTCTGTTCATTCTTCTGCTCACTTAGAAAAGATATATAGAACAGGTGATCCTTCACATTCTAACTGGGCTGATGAGAATTACCTGGTATGTGTTTGGTTCTGCAAAAAATATGAACTCGCTTTATCCACAAAACTTAAATTCTTTTGTCTTCAATTAAATGGTCAAGTGACTAAATTATAACAATAAAGATATTTGGTTAGCCAGCTGTTCATTCTGCTTAGCCAATTAAAATTTGTTCTGATTCAAAGTACTTTAAGCTGGAGAGAAATTGGTTGGGAATTCAAGAGAGAACTGTTGGGAAGTGTTTGTGCCTTTAGTGAGCAGGAACTGTTAAAGGGGATGAGAGGGTTAATATCTTCCCTCTTGTATTTTTGTTGATTTTTGCATTATGACTTATAAGTGGCAAAAAAGTGTTCTGCTTTGTGCTGTCATTGCCTTTGGTAAGTTGCAACAGCCACTTATGAAGAAGCAAAACTTCTCACAAGTCTCTTTCCTGCTTAGGTTGCATTTTCTCTTGCATTGCTAGGTAGCAATCTGGACCTGGATGTTTTTGTCCTCTTTTCCACACTTTTGAATTCTCACACAGAAGTCACTGAACAACTATAGCTCTTTGCTAATGATGGATAATGCAGAACATGAAATTCCTCTAGCATGAGAAAATATATGCTCAACAAACCTTATGGCCACCAGATTAGTTCAGTTTGTACATTGTGGGTTTTTCTTCCATAGTCTAATAAAAAACTTCTTGGTCCAATTGCTGCCAAACTCTGCCAAACAAACTCTTAGGGAGTTTGTTTTAAAGTGTGAGTGAGCAAATGAATGTGTGTGTCTGTCTGAGTTTGTGTGGATTTGTATGAATGTGTGTGTCTGTCTGTGTTTGTGTGGATTTGTATGTTTTGTGTGAGTGTGTGCATGTGTGCGTGCGTGTTTGTGCCTACGTGTGTTTGTGTGGATGCATTTGCATGTGCAAACTGTATATGCTGTGAGTGCATTAAAGACTCAGTATGAAGTCCAGTTATTCAGTCTGATATTACTTGACATCTTTTTAAAGATATCCTTAATTTGTTTGGAGTACCATACTTAATAAGTATCTCAATCTTTTCTTATTTATCATTTGCTTGCTGTGTCTCGCAAATATATCTGCCCTTTGCTATACATGCCTGATATCAGTAGTGAATAAGTTTAATTTAATGTGATAAAAGTTAGCATATGAGAGAATAAGCCTGCATTTGGTGGATAGCTTCATACTCTCTGGCTTATGTTATACTTTTTAGTTAATAAGTCTTATTGGTTTGTTGTAGAGTGCATAATGTTTATTGACCTTTTAATACTTGTTACATTATAAGTTTGAGCTTTATATTGGCCTTCAGGATTTACAGTGTGTTCATTATGATTTTAATATCATGTTATAAGACTTAAAATGATGTTGCCTTCAGATCGACATGTATGTTTAGTGTCAATAATAAATACAAAAATAGTTTCTTACAAATCTACATGAAGCAGCTGCTTTGGGAAAATTAGTTAGTAGCATTCCATTTCAAAATGATAAATAGACAGGAAAGGAAAGGACAAATATGTTAAAACACAATTTTCACTTACAGCAAAATGGCGGAAACCAAAGGAAGTGAAAAAGCGGGCTGGGCAGCAGCTGCCAGTCTCCCGTTTACCCTTGGCTTCAAAATACCCGCAGAGAAGCATACCCAAGATAAAGCTCAGGACAAGAATAGGGATAAAGAAGACAGGAGACCCACCAAGGATGACAAGTGAGAAGAAGACATAAAAGAGCCACTGTCTGTGGCTGCGTGTTGGAGAGAAGGGAAAATGGTTGGGAAGGTTTAAACCAAAGTTAATTTTATGGCCAAATTTGAAGCAGAAAAGAAGAGAGAGAATTTGAACATGAATTTTGTTGTAGATTGTATATGAATTATAAGTTGGGAAAAGTAATTTTAAATGAATAAACTGCAGGTATGCAGATTATTTAATATTTTGTTATTGTTGTATCTTTTTTTCCACTGAAGACCAAAACTCTTAGAAAAATGTTGAGGTGCCAAATGCCCTAACTTGCAATGCTGTGCTGCAAGTTAGAAGCATAGGCAAAATCCTGCAAGATGTAAAGAATAAAACTCATCAGATGTTGAAAATTGCTGAAAGCTAGAGAGTTATCAGCAAGCATCCAGTAGTAATTCATAATTACAACTTTATGATGTTTGTGAAGAAAAGTCACAGCCAAAGTTTAGTTTACTGTTTTTTAATATCAAATATGATTCAAGTGTTCCCAAATGTTAGATTGTGTTGGTTGGTTTTATATCTAGGGTTTATTCTGTGAAGTAATGTGGAGTTATAATGATTTCCCAGTGATGCATTAAAATAAAAATAAAATAAAATTAGAGAAGTTAGTGTAAACTTTGAAGTAATGAATTGTTAAGCAGTCTTGTTCCCTTTTCTCCTGGATAGAACACATGTATTCATACTAAAGAACCCAATTCATCTGGCTTTTGCTCATGAAAAGGATGATGGTTTTCGTCCTCATTTTTAGACAGATTATACAGAAAACTTTTACCCCTCAAGTTATTTTTAACTGAAGGGCAGAATTACCATGGTAGCATTGATGTGTAGGACATCAGTGTCTCTGAACTATTTTGTATGTAGTAGATATTTTACCTGAGAATTAATATGACATAGAAGGCCATCTTCTGTTAGGGAAATATATGTTCATGGCTAATTGTTGTTAATACTGTTCAAGTATATATTTTTAGTCAGAATGTGAGAAGTGACTGTATACGTGGTAAAGTGAGAATACATGGTGTTGTGCAAGAGACCGGAGAAAGTAAATTGTTATTTTTATTCTGAACACTGCATTTTAAAGTAAAAAAAAAAATTGTGACATTTAGTCTAGCACATTGCAGTTCAGTTAATGCATTTGTGTGGAATTAGAAGTAGAATTATATGTATCCAGTTAAATGCATTTTACACCAACAAAATTGAACCTTTCCAACTGAATTAACTTGAAATGGGTCTGAAAAGCTGGAAATTGTTACAGAGATATTTATATGTGAAAGTTGGTGCTCTGAGCTGGACTTGGTGAAGAAAGTGTTATTCTGTAAAATATGTAATATATTAATATATTAAGAAAACTAAAGCAACCCTTCAAATTTTGCACTAGACTGGTTGCTGCCTTTACTAATGTTTGAAAAGAAAAATTACAACTGCAATTTACTGTCACCTCCAATGGTGCATTTCATGACTGACTATGAAACGGAAAACTTGTATGGTTATAAATGAAGTCTCCTGAAATACTGAAGAGGAATACTAAGGCAACTATAGTGTTTATAAGGGGGAATTTCTCCATATTATTTCATGTGAGTCACCAAATCAAGGCTAAAGGTGTAAAGGCATTATAGCTTTGTTTATATTTAACTTCTTATTGGAGGTCAGAATCTTTCAGTTAGTCTCTATGCAGGAAATGGAATATGATGTAGAGGCTCTCTGTCTAACTTGTATTATTTTGAATCTTTTTATATGATGGATTACAAAATCTGATGTTACTCAGATGTATTCGTAAATAGAATACATTAAAAGCTGTATGATTATTTCCATTTCATAAATCATATATTTTTTTCATAAAAATTGCATTATTTTTCCATGAGGATGTACAAATGCCTTACTTTCTCTCTCTCTCTCTCTCTCTGCCTCTCTCTTAGATACTGCTATGTTGATTTGATGTCTTTTGTACCAGAAGGATTTCTTATTTATTTTACAGACATCTTAGAATAAAGAGATTTACAACATAACTGTTTTTGTTAGTATAAATATATAAGAACCTATTCCAAGTCCATGTAGTTATATAGTAATCACCTACTGTAAATAGTCCATGCAAAGTATTGATATTTGTAAAAATTTAATGATATTAAAAAAAAAAATACACTGAATGCTAGGGATAAGTGCTGCATATCTATTAATGAATATTCTTTTATAATTATTAAGATAGTAAAGTGTAAACCCACTAGCACTGGGTGCATGCACTGTCCAATGTGCTTTTGCTACAAATTTTGTTAACACAGCTGGCTCCAGAGTCAGTTATTTGGCCAACCTGATCTCACCTGTTGACTGTTATTATTATTAACAACCCATTGGATCTGGGAGCTTTGTTGTCTGCATGTGGCGCAAAATCTGGGCATCTGGCTAACTTGATTGGCTATTCTCCAGTGTATGGCTTATAAGCCAGGTGAACACGTATTATCCTTTTAACAATAACAGGATGGAAATAAATCCAATAAATTTAACCCAATGTCAGCGGGTGGCCAGGCTACAGTGTCATGCCCACTCTAATAAAACTTATCTATTGTCTGTACACATAGATGGCTCTACAAGTGCTAGGTCACCAAGGAGTCAGCCATTAGTCTTACCTATCTCGTCTGTGTACCCTTTTCCTTCATTTTTTGAAAGCTTCATTTCTGTTATTTTATTGTCTTTGATGGTATTAATATTTTAACCCCTTCCCGATGGGTCACACCGTGAGGCGTCAAAACAATCCGCTCGATCTGTGGAGTGTGGCAGTACGTTGCGGCAGTGCACCAAAGCGCTACGAGCCGGTGATTCGGCTTGATGTACCGAACTCTCACGCTCAAAGTCAGTGCATTCCCAATGATCTCCAGAGTGTAAAGTTGTTTTTTTTTTTTTTTAGTTTTCTTCTCCCGTCATCAAGGGGTTAATAACAATTTAATAATCATAATATCAATAAGAATGATAGGTTTCAATATTAATAGTATTGGAAAGAAAAACCCATTTTCCTGCCATTTCAAAGAATGGGGAAATTAGGATCGGTCACTAGGGCCAGATGATTGATTCCTTGCTGGCTGAGCACAAGTGGAGCCATCTGTATGTAATGAAACTCACTAAAATCAAAAGAGGACAGTACATAAACCCGCTGACACAGGGTTAAGGATTTGGGTAAATAAGTGAGATAAGGTAGGTCTAGTAATTGGCTCACTTACTAAGCACTTCTGGAGCAATTTACATGCACTCCCAGCATAAGCAGTGCCTCCATACTGGCTAAAACCCTGGAAGATCTAAGGCTACAAGTAAACAACAGCCACACAATGCAAGTTTTCATGCCACATATATACTGACCAAGTAAGGGTCTAATATAGCTTTAGCTTGGATATAGACACGTATGATAATAATGAGGCCCTAGTGCTGTTTTTCATCATAGATTCCCACAAAAGTATCTACTCAACATGTAAATTCTGCATGACTGAAGGGCTGTGGACTATAATTGGAATGAAATAATAATAGTATCTGTGATATATATGCCATCTACAGGCAAAGGGTAAAAGGGTTAGTCAGACCAGGAAAACAATCAAGGGATATGAAGATCATCTGAATTGTTTTTTCTTTATATTAGTCAAGTTTTCTTAAACATGGAACCTAAAATTATAAATACAAATAACACAAACTCCCCCCCTCAAAAATGAAGGTTCAACATACTTAAACCTTGTATTTGGCTAATAAGTATATCCCTCCAGTATGCCTAATTTATTCATCATTAATGTTTGTTTTGTTTTTTTGCCTTGTTCAAAAATACATAGTAGTCTAACTTCAGACTCTGTCAAGGTAAAATCACATGACTTTCTAACAATTATTCTTGTTGCCAAAAATATTTACAGTTTCCAATTCATCTTGTTTTTTTTAGTTTTTTTTTTAAGTTCTATATGTGATGGAAAACCGAAACTGAAGTTTCATCCACATAAGACAATATGACAAGAAGTAAATTTTTTTATATATATATATATATATAAAGAAGCCATGAACTAATAAGAAAAAATGAGCAGAAGACAAGAAAAGGTTTGAACAAAGGAAAAAAATATATATATGCATTCTATAACCCAATTCCTATCACTTCTTGACATCCATGGACTCCTGTGTCTTGCTCCCAGACAAAACAAGATAAGCAGCTCCTAGCTGTTTCTGCTTTTCTCGCTGGCGCTCCAGTGTCTGCAGTGGCGTGTCGGAGGAACTCATGTGTTTCATCAGTAGCTCTTCGTTCCACTTCTTCATTCGTTTCTCTGTTTTATTCTTTCCTGACCCCTTCCCGTGGAATTTATGGGACAAATACCTGTGAATGACAAGGGGTGAAATTAGAAAAGATTTGTGGCTGATCTACTGGAATTTACTTCATTATCATTTATATACTTGTATGACAGGGTTACACACCTTTACTGAAATCAAAATGAAATATTGGTGCTTTGTAGTGGTTAACCCAATGGCGCCGGGTGTACAAAACAAAACAAAAAACTCTACGCTTAAACAAACAAAGGCGGCGCGCCGACTTTGAGCGCGTGAGTAGGGGACATCAGCCCGAATCACTGGCTCGCCACGCTTTGGCGCGCTGCCGGCTCGTTTGGCTGCACGCCAGCTTTCGAGCGCTTTGTTTACACGCCGATCGGCGTCACCTGGCACCAAGGGGTTAAGTGATACATCTGAGCAAGATCAAGCATATTTCCAATTTATAATGAATATATATTGTTTACAATCTAATAACCCTCCCTGACCAGGACTTGAACCCTTGCTGCTCCAGGTAAGACCAGAGTGACCAATACTAAACCAACACTACCACACGACCCACTAAAAGGAGTGTGCAACTAGGATCTAGTGCTGGTCACTCTGGTCTTACCTGGAGCACTCGGGTCTTACCTCGAGTCCTGGTCAGGGAGGGTTGTTATATATCAATAGCAATGCAGCTTTGCCTTATTCCATCTTTCATATGTTATATAATAAACCACTACTTTCAGAAATATACTATTGTTCTCTATATTTTTATGGGTACTGAACAAATGTCACTCTTAATGAAAAATTAATAATATATCTGGCTTTCCATTCAGTACCACTATTAGTATTAGCACTATCAGTGCTTCCCCCCCCCTCTCCTCTCTTATAATCCACTAGTACCGGGTGACATGCCATCATGTCATAGCAAAAAATACCAGAGACTAGGTGATACCTCACCACATCATGAGTATGTTCAGATCAAGGTACTTCTGATCAAGGCACCAATCTGTCTTGATGAAAATCTTAGTTGGCAACATTGCCCCTTTGAACATTTACTGTAAATATTAGTATTTCTTTATTATTCCATCTTTATTTATATTTTTTTCCCATTTTTATTATTAAAACCATTTTCAAAGAAAATATAATGAGGAAACAATTAGTATAATATAGATTGAAAGGAGTGAAAAGGGGCAGAGCCAAATAACATCATCACTTTTAGCCAATGTGGGTGCGATGTGAGATACCAAACATAGCTAGATAAATAATTATTTGTATAATTTTCTTGGATGTTATGATAACCAAATGTAAAACAGTAATTTAACTTTTATTTATGATACATTGCATACCATAAACAGCCATCAGAATACTACAGGGAAAAAGTTAATTTCATTTTTGGGTTCAAAAGGCTAAATACTTTTTAAATACTGTACCTTTGTAAGGATGAAGTCTCAAGACAGTCATCCAGAAGCAGGGCACTAATGTACCCATCATTACTGGCTTAACAAGTGGCCTCAAACTCTCCCTTTTTGGCCATGTCTTTCACCACATTTATTACTTAATCTAGAACATGGATTTTTTCTTCAAGAATTGGCATTTTTTACTGGATCACTTACTGTGTACTGTACCTTTAACTAGCATGATCATGGCCTATCTCTTCCCATTTTTTACTTTTCTTGTTAAGAGATATGTTGTATTGTTGATATATATGGCAAAGGTGGATCATTTCATTTGGATATTTTCTGATGATCCTTCAGAGGAATTTTCCAATTTCAACTAGCCTGCAGCCAGTTTTCTTAACTAGAAAAGGTTATTTGATCTACATATTGTTAGTACATCCAGATTTTTCCTTTGAGCCAGATGACATATGAAAAAAATTTGGTGTGTGGGGCAGGTGACAGGAAGATGCTGCCATGGGAAAATTTGGCTGTGGGCCAGGGTGATGCCAATTTTCCATCGTGAGCATTTTGGCTGAAGGCTGGGATGATGGGAATAACTCACCACAAATGCACAAACCTCTTGGTGATTACTCATTTGGCATTCAGGAAGGGGCTCTTCCATCCATACACAAGTGTGGAATGTAACATCCATGAACCATGACTGGAAGAGTGCATACCTGCATCATGCATGTTAGAATGTTTTCTCACTATCTGTTTGAATTTCTGTTGACTTTTTTTTATGTCAACTGTTTGAATTTCTTTCAACAGACTTCTTTTCTTTCCTTGACAAAATCATGCAAGAGACACGTTATCATATGTACCTTACCCTGATCAGCTTCATTTTTGGCAGCTTCAAAAGGTTCTGTGAAGACCACTCAACAATTTCCAAACAGGTGATGTTTAGTTGTGCTATTGTGTCTTAACTCTTTAAGCCCTTCCATGTTAAATTCTTGCCCTGTGGCCTTATTTCAGTTCTCTCTTTTACATCCTACTTGACACTAATACTACTACCATTACTACAAATAATATCACTCCTTACACCACCACTATTCTTACCAACGGTGTTACTATCATCCCTTCTATCACTTCTACCACTATTGCTAATATCACTTTTCTTGCTTACTACTGCCATTATCACTACTTTTCCTAGTGTATTACTACTACTATTTATCACTAGTACTACAACAAAAGAAGTAGCCCTCTCACCTGAAAGCTTCTTTGGCATTGAGTTTGCGTCCCTCGTCATCCACGTACTCCAATTTTACATCTGGCTTGTACTTGTCCTTCTCCTTGAACTCAGTGACGGGCCCAATGTATCGCTCACCTCGACTTCCCCTTCGATCATCGTCCACTGCTTTGTCTTCAATGCTGCAACATACTCTCATTACATGTCATATTATGAAGAAATATTAAGACAGTAAAGCCAGCATTAATTGTAATTATCTATATTAATTCACCAAATAAAAAATCTTTTACCTGTAGTGAACTGCTCTGAGATGTTGCAAAGCAGCATTAGCAGACTTGGATATATTAGTTTTCTCCAAGTAACCCTTCTTGAGAGCTAACTTCAAGGCATTGGCAACACCCTTGCTGGCATCAGGCTCCTCCTCCAAGATTGGGGCCGTCATGTGGTCTGTGATTTCCACACGAGTGTCGTCAATGCCTACTTCCTCCCAAGCTCCTCGTGGTTCCTGGGCTTCCTTTTCCTGGAGGGAAAATAAGAGCAGGATCTTGTAATTATCTCTGGTATATTCTGTACTAATATTTCACTGATATGAAGAACACTATGAGAACATCTACAAAATAGTAAATCTGGTGCAGTTTTATTTTTTTAACACATTTTTTTTCATACTGGTTAAAAATCTACAGAAATTAGATTATTAAAAATGTGATACTTTCTATTCAAGATTACATGATCTTCAACCAGAGTGGGCACATTATGCTACCTCCCATGCTGCTGCTAGACCCTTCTCCTTATGTCAATGTTGTCAACCTACACTAACTGTTCTTCTTGTGCTATTTTTGTTTTGTTTTTGTTTCTTTGTCCAAACTCCAATCCAATCACTATTTACTTGATTCCTTTTACTTGTAACGTTACCTGCCTTTCTTCCCCTTTGGTTTTGATTCAAAGATATTTACCAAAAACCAAGGCCAATCAAAATCAATATATAAGCAATGATCACCCAACTTGAACTGCCATGTCACTTGCCTCACTTCAGCAAGGAGTACCATAAGTGCTAATGTACATACAAATGATATCTTTATATATCCACAACTAATACTTACTTTTGGTTGCTGGAGTTGCAGCATACTTTGGTCCTCTTCTGCACGATTTCCCGACAGACCATAAGTAGGTATGTCTCCTAGTGTGCGGCAAAATTCATCGGTGGTGTTGAGAGTCATGACGAGATTTGCAGCGTCCTCTTTCATTGCGTCATCCTCTGGTTCTACCTGTTCTACAACCTTTTCCTTTTTCAACTGCTCTGTGATTCTCTCACTGCTCGGCTGAGCTGCCTGTGCAAGCTTAGCCCTGCGAGACCTGGCCAAAGCCTCTTGGAGTTCTATGTCATCTTGCTCGCTCTCCTGACCATCTTCCACCTCCATTGCCTCCTCCTTTACAGACGGCTGTTCTTCTTCCTCAAGTAGATCCTGCAGCGTCACTGTTTTCCATCCAGTGGGTTTGGGTTCCTCTAGGGGCACTCCATCCTCATCCTCATCCTCCTTATCCACCTGCATGGCCTCAATCCTGGCATGTCTGGCAGTTCTGGATCCGAGGTGCACCAGTGAGTCCTCCTCAAGAGGCTCCAAGTCATCTGCAGTCAACTTCTTTTTCTTCTTTTTCTTGGTCTTCTTAACCTTGCGGAAACTCACCATTTCCTTCTCTGTGAAGTACTCGGAGGCTAGCTGTGTCTGGGGCAAATCTAGGGACTGTAGCTGCCTTAACTTGGCCATCTTTCTCATGCCAGGAGGAATGCCACTTTGGTTCTCTTCGATATCAGCAGCAGAAGACTCCCCACCAGTACCCAATCTGAAGCTTGTTTTCTTCTCGCCTTCAATTTCTTCATCATATTTGGTGAGGAGAGAATTCTGGACAATGTTCCCAAATTCATCTACTTCTGGGGCCTCATATTCTTTGTCATCAGTCTTCTTCAATCTTCGTTTGAGATTCTAGAAACAATATGAAAGCATCAGTAATAATATTTGAACTAGTATTTTTTTCCTTTTTTTTTCAAATAAAAAAAAAAACAAAAAAAAAAAAAAAAAAAACAGGTAGATCAGTTGTGACTTCTACATTTGGAGTAGCAGGAAAAGAAAACAGCAAAATTATGAACATTCATAAAGGATACTTACCTTCTCCACATGCTCATCATCAACCATGTTAACATTTACAAGGGTATCTTCTTTATCATCCAAGATATTGCTGTCTTTGAGGGTTAAAATAGTTGTTCGACCTTCCTCAAACCTGGAATAAAAGATCTTGGTAAATAAGGTTACTGAAATTAAGGATACTTAAAAAGAACATTCTGACGGAATGTGAAAAGTAAGAATAATTGATAAATATGAGGACCAATTTGGGAATACCACTGTTAAATCATATATTACACTTAAAAATGTTTTCCAAACCAACCTTTTCACCTCGTGCTCAATCAGCATCCCCGACAGGTCACCACGATTGTACTTCTTGGTCTTCTGCTCAGTCATCTCCTTTTCAACCAAGTCTCCGATACCAAACTGCGCATCCAATTCCTCCAGCATCTTGCTCTGTTACAAGTAAAAATATATCCAACTCCATAATCAAACAATGAAAAGAGCAGGCAGAATCACAATCATTCAAGGATTCATCATCACTGGCATAATCTCAACATCTGAAACATTTAGTATAATATGTCAGTATTTTGAGAAGTGAAAATGGACAAAAAAATTACCCTCTTCTCTGCTGCAGCTTTTTCCTTTTCGATTATTCTTGACTTCTTAACCCAAGCACTGGCAGACTCGTCATCACTCTCAGATTCTCCAAGAGTCTTCACTTTCTTCAGCTTTTCTTTAATGCGACGTTTTTCTCTCTGTAGTGCTATCTTTTCTCTCAATTTCTCTACCTAAGAATAAGACAAAGAAATGAGAAGATTTTCAAATATCAGTCTCGACCAAGCTAAAACAAAATTGAATTTTCACTATGAATTCAAAATGAAAAGAAAAAAGATTAGGGAAGATGTTAAAGAAGATGGAAAAAAAAAATAATAATAAATATCTCCAACAATGAAAAATTATTGACATTTCTTGCATTTTACCTGTAACTTCTGAGCTAGGTTCTCTGCAGGTTTATGTACAAACTCATCCAATGTGGCCGTGCCTGCCTTCTGCTCCTTGACACCCTCAGGGTCATCACCCTTGCCTTCCTCATCATCTCCTTCTGTCTTTGCAACAGCGTTCTCAACCTGGTGGGGAAAAAAAGGTGTTATTCATCTCATTTTCTCCATTTGAATCAAAACCTGATACTTTAAGAGAATAATAATGAGAACTACAACTTTCAAGATAACACCCCTCTTGTCTAAGAGTGATACCTGTGTTAAGTGGAACACTTAGTGCAATAGATTATCACATGCTAAGTAAAGCATCTTACAATCATAGTCAATGGTAATATTCATATCAAAGTCACATTCACTTCCATTATTTCCATCTACCTACAGTAACAAGAAGTCATGCTGTAGGTTAATTTCATGCCTCTTTATACACACACACACACACACACAACAAACTCTGCAGTCACAATGATAAAAATCCATTTTCTAAAGGACAGCTAGCTAACCTTACATTAGAGAGGCCTGGGAAAGCAGTACCACCTTCAGTACATAAATGATATCACAAACGAATGCTTTAAATTTCAAGTTAAAATTATGTAAAAGCATGATACATCTTGAACTATCAACACAAATGTAACTTTCATAAAAAAAAACAAAAGAAATATATTGCAAGTCAAATGAAATTTATTACTTAATCCAAAGTTGCTGGAAAAATGTAGTGTTCATTTTGGGATTGTTTGTGAAACGTCTTAGATGGCTCCACAAGAGGTTAGCCACAAAGGTGTCAATTAGTAGATCTTGTGACCTCACATGATTTCACCTTTCCATCAGTTTGCCAGAAAAAAAACATGTCTTTTACTAATACTGTGATATCGATGCTGTTACTATTATTATAGACATTAAAATTATTAAAATGTTACTGACATTACTAACAGCAATATAAGATACCAGAAAAATAACCCAAAAACTTAGGAAAAGGGTAAACTAGTGAGATAGGTAGTAGTTGTAATAGGCTTATTTGAACCATCTATGAGTACAGACATTTAATAAAGGAAACTCACAGTGGGCATGGTATGTACATACCTAATACCAACAGGGATGGCATATCCCTACCAGCACTGATTTTTATCATTTCCCTTTTTTCATCCTCTGACTAACACATTTTCAATTTTGCTGATTTTTTTATTCATAATGATAATAGTTTTCTTCTCAAATTAATCAGATCTTTAGCATGACTTCTTGATAAGTTAAGATAAGTTCAAGCACATTACTAAATCCCAAAATAAAATAGAGACTGCCAAAATATTGTTCTAATAAAAACAATATATATAAAAGAAATACTGATAAGTTGCCATGAAAAAAAATTGAAATGAAGATTAAGGAAAGGAGAGCTTAATCTTTATCAGACCTAAACATGCTTCAACATTAACCCATTGCCACCAGGGAAACTGAATAAAAAATGGGGGAAACTCTGAGCTCATTTTTTATATTTTTGTGAAATGTCTTAGATGGCTCCACAAGAGGTTAGCCACAAAGGTGTCAATTAGTAGATCTTGTGACCTCACATGATTTCACCTTTCCATCAGTTTGCCAGAAAAAAAACATGTCTTTTACTAATACTGTGATATCGATGCTGTTACTATTATTATAGACATTAAAATTATTAAAATGTTACTGACATTACTAACAGCAATATAAGATACCAGAAAAATAACCCAAAAACTTAGGAAAAGGGTAAACTAGTGAGATAGGTAGTAGTTGTAATAGGCTTATTTGAACCATCTATGAGTACAGACATTTAATAAAGGAAACTCACAGTGGGCATGGTATGTACATACCTAATACCAACAGGGATGGCATATCCCTAGCAGCACTGATTTTTATCATTTCCCTTTTTTCATCCTCTGACTAACACATTTTCAATTTTGCTGATTTTTTTATTCATAATGATAATAGTTTTCTTCTCAAATTAATCAGATCTTTAGCATGACTTCTTGAAAGCAGAAACATCCTACTTGAGATAAGTTCAAGCACATTACTAAATCCCAAAATAAAATACAGAGACTGCCAAAATATTGTTCTAATAAAAACAATATATATAAAAGAAATACTGATAAGTTGCCATGAAAAAAATTGAAATGAAGATTAAGGAAAGGAGAGCTCAATCTTTATCAGACCTAAACATGCTTCAACATTAACCCATTGCCACCAGGGAAACTGAATAAAAAATGGGGGAAACTCTGAGCTCATTTTTTATATTTTTGTGAAATGTCCCTGTTTCAAGATGGCTCTGCTAGTGCTTAGCCATAAAGGATTTCTCCTTTCTTTGACTTGGCGCAAAAAATGTATTTTTACTAGTGCTATAAATATATATGGTGTTATTTTTATTATAAACATTATAATTACTATAATGTTATAAACATTTGTAACAGCAAAATAAGATAACGTTAAATATTTTCATAAATCTATGAAAAGGGTGAACAGGCAAGACAGGCGGTACTCATAACTGGCTCATTGGTGATTTAGGACAAGTGTAGCCATCTATGTGTAAAAACAATTAAACAAGTAAACTCACAATGGGCATGGCATGTTGGTACATGCCATGCCCGTCAGCAAAGGGTTAATGCAATAATTCACAATGAAATCCATAATGACTAACTCTTAACCCATTCGCGTAAGGTGTCATGTATATGTGACATGCCCACTGTAAGTTTACTTGTTTAATTGTTTTTACACATAGATGGCTACACTTGTACTTGTACTGCCTGTTTCGCCTGTTTACCCTTCTCTTTAATTTACGAAAATATTTTACGTTATCTTATTTTGCTGTTACTAATGTTTATAACATTATAATAATTATAATGTTTATAATAAAAATAACCCTCGATATTCATAGCACTAGTAAAAATACATTTTCCCGCCAATTCAAGTAAAGGTGAAATCAGGTAAAGCAGAGCCATCTAGTGTAGACACATTTCATAAAAAAATATAATAAATGAGCACAGCATTTTCCCCATTTTTTATATTTTTGTGAATGTCCCTGTTTCAAGATGGCTCTGCTAGTGCTTAGCCATAAAGGATTTCTCCTTTCTTTGAGTTGGCGCAAAAAATGTATTTTTACTAGTGCTATAAATATATATGGTGTTATTTTTATTATAAACATTATAATTACAATAATGTTATAAACATTTGTAACAGCAAAATAAGATAACGTTAAATATTTTCATAAATCTATGAAAAGGGTGAACAGGCAAGACAGGCGGTACTCATAACTGGCTCATTGGTGATTTAGGACAAGTGTAGCCATCTATGTGTAAAAACAATTAAACAAGTAAACTCATGGGCATGGCATGTTGGTACATGCCATGCCCGTCAGCAAAGGGTTAATGCAGTAATTCACAATGAAATCCATAATGACTAACTCTTAACCCATTCGCGTAAGGTGTCATGTATATGTGACATGCCCAATGTAAGTTTACTTGTTTAATTGTTTTTACACAGAGATGGCTACACTTGTACTTGTAATGCCTGTCTCGCCCGTTTACCCTTTTCTTCGATTTACGAAAATATTTAACATTATCCTAATTTGCTGTTAAAAATAACACCATCTATATTTATAGCGCTAGTAAGAATACGTTTTTTTCCCTGCCAATTCAAGGAAAGGTGAAATCTGGACTAGCAGAGCCATCTATGTACAGAGATATTTCACAAAAATATAAAAAATGTGTACAGCATTTTCCCCATTTTTTATTAATTTTCCCCAGTGGCAATGGGTTAAGGGTATAGGGATGATGTCATGGGTGTGGAAGGAGGAAATTTACCCAACAATATATTACAAGTGTCATTATCAATGAAAAAGACTTGGGAAAAAAATCCTGCCAATTTTGTCTTGCATGATGATGACTAGGAGGACTGCCCACACACGACTTGGCAATCCATGACTGTGGCAAATAGGTCTTTATGGGATAAATATGTTTATCCCATATTCATTACTAAACAACAAAAAACAAAACAAAGCATATTAAGAGGTGGTGCCACAGTCTTTCACTTATACTTGTCATAAAGATACTATACATTACAGTAAGCATCTGATATTTCACTAGGTTTATTGACTAGTGAGGTCAGTGAGCCTCATATATCTATTATGCTGTATACAATTTAATCTAACCTTCCAATAGTCACAGGTGAAATATTGTCTTGCTGTTCAAGGGGGTCTGGTAGTTCAGAATGAATCAATTCAATAATTTTATAACTTATGAAACAAAGCAAACAGAGAGGATTCTGCTGTATTTGGCTGGACTTTCCTTGTCTGTATCAGTTCACCAACCTAGATGATGGAAGGACTGAAAAGGAGGTCTGAAGTGAGCTTGTATTATAGTGTCAAGGGAGTCTAATCATGGTATGTGATATCACCAGGTGTACTAGTAAGTGTCGTTAAGAATTTTTTTGGTGAGCCTTATTTAAAAAAGAAGAAGAAGAAGCTTTTCCTTCCTACATCATCCTATCCTCTCTAAATCATCAGCCATACTGCCCTTTATCTCAGGTTCCAAAGCATGCAATTTCCCCATGCCTTCAAAATATCTCTATCTTCAATTCACTGTTAGACTGATTACTGTACCTTTAATGGCTTCAATCCCAATTTGGCACGAATCTTGTTTGTCTCCTCAATGGAAAGGGAAATGTCTCCACTTCCACCTCCACCACCTCCTCCTCCACTTGGCGGCTGAGGTGGTGGTGGAGCGGGGACTGACTTGGGAGGCTTTGGCGGAGGAGAACCTCTCTGAGAATGGAATGCTGTGGACAAAACAAGAGAAGGTAAATTAAGATACCTATTCATCCTGAAGCATAAACACATGCACAAATATGCAAATAAAAAACACACATGCAGATACAGACACAGACATCCAAATTCACTGGATAATGCTTAGCACAACATATATACACAGCACGGTAAATCAATTAATTAATCACATGTTGGCTCTGATAGTAATGACTCACCTGCGCCTTCATCCTTGAGGCTCAACAGCTGCTCAACATCCGAAAGACTGTCATCACTTAGACTTGGTGTCCTCGATCGTGAACGGTCTTCACGTCTCTTACTGCGCTGCTTCTTATGTTTGTGATGATGCCTGAAACAAATATTTGAAGTAAGTGTAATGCAATCCAAACATGAGGATGAGCGAACAATCTAAAATATGAAATTTTAGATGGGAAAATAGGAAATGGGAAATCTTTAATAAGGACATTTGTGAGTTCAAATATTAAAAAAAAAAAAAAAAATGGTCAAACCATTAATTCAAAATATTAACTATAAATTCTTTAAAACCAACAAATATAAACATTAACTGTTCTAAACAACAAATCTCCTCTATGGATATTGCTGCCCAATAAGCTTTTCTCATGAACATTCCATAAGCAAGAGCTTCACCTGGTTCCAAAAAGACCAATCAAAGAAAGAAGTATAACTGTAGAGAAATGGACATATGAAAATCAAAGTAATTTTCTTATAATTGCAGTATAAAAGAATAGGTTGGTGCAAAGTTGTTGGCATGTATTGGCATTTTCTCAGTTTGTGCCCATTTCATTTGTTATTGCATGCACAAGACCAGGCACAAACTAGCTAGTGGTTGTAGCTTAAAATCACAGGTGAAGATTTAGTTAATGACAAGGTAAATGGAGTGAATGGAACTGATAGCTTAATGAATTCAACACCACTGCATCTGTGCTATTTTTATTGAGTACATATGATACTTGCTAAAATGTATGTCATTACCATACTTTTTGCTATTTAGTATTTTTTTTTATGTTCCTTTGCATATCTCAAGCCCTCCCTAGCTTCCATTGTTTTTACAGAGTAAATATCTAGACAAAATTGTATATGCAAATGATTAACCCATTGCCGCTGGGAAAAATTAATAAAAAATGGGGAAAATGCTGTACCCATTTTTTATACATTTGTGAAATATCTCTGTACATAGATGGCTCTGCTAGTCCTGATTTCACCTTTCCTTGAATTGACGTATTCTTACTAGTGTTATAAATATAGATGGTGTTATTTTTAACAGCAAATTAGGATAGCGTTAAATATTTTCATAAATCAATGAAAAGGGTGAACGGGCGAGACAGGCAGTAATCATAATTGGCTCACTGGTGACTTAGTACAAGTGTAGCCATTTATGTGTAAAAACAATCAAACAAGTCGACTCACAGTACATAAATGCCATCCCCTTCTGCAAGGGGTTAAGACCACATTCATTAGCAACAACAATGTACAGTTGTTCTAAGGATTCAACCAGCCTACTTGACTACAACTGCTGCATTCCCTGCATTTCATGAACAATAAAATTTGCTGACTTATCCTGAATCTTTCAAGCTTCATACATCTTAAATATTATTACAGTGAAGATGACTATACTATACTGAGGGTTTACATCAATTTTTCACAACAAAAAATATTTTTTGCCTACACAGAATATTTCATGTATTATGTAGATTTCCTCTTTAATTATTATAGTACCATTACATTTTCTTGCAAGATAGTTCTTTATGGTACGGACGCACTCGCCAGAGTCCCCAATTCCAGCCAAGGATCCTGGGGGACATGTGGGGAACTGGGGGTTGGGGGGGGGGGAATAGCCTCAGTTTGATTTGGGTGCCAGTAAATGACCAAAGGAAATTATGAATGCAAAGTAATTCGACTTTTCGGAAATGCGAGCCAAACTTTTTATTTGCGAAGGCCAAAGAATGCGTCTTTTCAGAAATGCGAGCCAAACTTTAAATTACAAAGATCAAAGAAATGCAACTTCTCGAATATTCAAGCCGTACTTCATATTTTCTATGAAAAAATGCAAGCATTTGAGTAACACGGTTAACGGCACCATATTTACTCCACAGTCCAAGTGCCGTGACTGGGCGTGCCCTTTGGGCACTGCCCGAGGGGAGGATTGATGGGGGGCTCTGCCCCCCAACACCCCCCAGCAGACATTCTATTCTCCTCGATATGCACGGCAAGATAGAGCTTGATACAGGTCTTCGTGTTTTACTTGTTTTACCAATTTATTTATTTACTTATCCAAGGGGGCACGGCTACCCTGGACCCCCGTCTTTTACTTTTACCGAAAAGGATATGCAGTTTAACCCAATGGCGCCGGGTGTACAAAAGAAAAAAAAAACTCTACGCTTAAACAAACAAAGGCGGTGCGCCGACTTTGAGCGCGTGAGTAGGGGACATCAGCCCGAATCACTGGCTCACCGCGCTTTGGCGCGCCGCCGGCTCGTTCGGCTGCACGCCAGCTTTCGAGCTCTTTGTGTACACGCCGATCGGCGTCACCCGGCACCAAGGGGTTAAAAAAAAACATAAATGATATGATGACGTACCCTACTGCAGAGGACACAAATTAGCAGCGGCAAGGAGGAAGCATGCAGTCTTTGGTTTGAATCTGGGATGTTCATTAAAAACATTGCACATGCCAGATACACACTTTTTTCAGTTAATAGAAGTCCATGAGTTTGTAAAATAAATTACTAAGGTCTTCTATTTTTCCACTAAATTTAGTGTGAAAGTCTAACACACCACCATAGCACTTTTAACACACATCAGTCATTATCACAGAGAAGAATGTGGCAGGTCACTGTAGTCTAGAAATGTGCATGTGTTATTTGCATACTCGAAATAGCTTAAGCACTGACTGTATTGTTTGAGTAGTTAAGCAATTAAAATTTTTAATAGGTTTAAGACAGTAAGCATGGAAACATTTTACGTAAAAACTGCTAAAATGCGAAAATATATGAACAGTAAATATATAGCCGTGTATATTTACATAATAAAGTATATGGAATATTTTACTAAAACTTTAATGAGCAATTAAAATCTCTGCTAAACTGCCGTCTCCTGATTGGTCGTGATGATGTAGATGCGCAGTACAAAAAGAACACGGTGTACGAGTTGCGCTTCTTCTATGGCAATATGTGTGCAAATGCTTCCCAAGGCTGCTATATGTAAAAGAAAAGAGATGATCCCCCAATTTTGGTTGCTTATCTTGTTTACAATGTGGTGGTGGTCCAGGGGGTGTAGCCCCCTGGCTAGGCATATATATTACCACGGGGGTCTAGGGGGCAGAGCCCCCTGGCTAGGGAATATATACCATGGTGTTAGGTTAGGTTGGGTGTTGGGTTAGGACGTTTTGTTTAACAACCACGGGGGTCCTGTTTTACCCAATAATTTCCCTGATATACTTCATGCCCTCCCCTGATATCGGGCCTAGCTAATCAAGATT